TCATTATTTTGAATGTTGATATCCTATTTACACAGTCACAACATTTTGCTTGAAGTTATTCTTGACCATACCTTTCTTTTTCTTTCAATAATAAATATCTATTTTTCTTATTCTTTACCAAGTATACATCCCCAGAATGAATTGAAAAAATGTATCATATTTGTCATGAATTAGAATGATGGCAAATAAATGAATGACACTATTCATAAAAGATTTTTTCATTCTTTTGAAAGAAATCCAAGATGAAAGAAGTAAAAGAAGCCTGAGAAAATGATATAGAAAGGACAAACAAGGTGACCCAGTGATGAATTCAATAATAGATTGATTAACAGGACCTGTGAGTTGTAACTAGATGAGGAAAATGACATTGATCAGCTAACAAAATTTATTTTTAAATGGTGAAGTCTTGAGAATCTTGTTACCACAATTAAAATTTCATGGCATCGATTTAATAACATCTACACTACATACATTATGTTTACATTTGCATCCTAGATAGGACATGCATTTGCATCGTTGCATTATCACTTATCACTTATTTTCAATCTTGACTCAATCTAGATTATTTTCCTGACTTATGGTTCAATCTTGATAATTTGATCTTGGCTTAGTCCAAATTATTTTTTTAACTTGTGGCTTAGTCTCAGCCATCCGATCTTGGCTCAGTCTAGATTATTTTTTTAACTTGTGGCTCAGTCTCGATCATCTGATCTTAGCTCATCTAGATCATTTCATTTTCCTAACTTATGGCTCGATCTCAATCATCTATTTGATCTCAGCTCAGCTCAAATCATCTTTCAGACTTGTGATTCATCTCGATCATTTGATCTCGATTCAGTCTAGGTCATTTTTTTGACTTGTGGTTCAATCCTGGTCATTTCGATCTTGGCTCAATCCAAATTATTTTTTCAATCTCTATAAAACTTAAAATCTTATGAATATTTCATTTTTACGAATTTGAAAGTCCCTGTGAACACGAAATCTTTATAAATCTAAAACCTCTATGAAACTAGGAATCTTATGAATCTTTCATTCTTGCAAATCTAAAAAACCTTTGTGAATCTTGAATCTTTGCGATTTTGTTAAACTTGGAATAATGGGATCTTTCAATTTTTGTTATAGAACCTCACCAATTTTTGAATGTCTAAATTGTGAATCTTTGGATTTAAAGTTGAAATTTTAAACTTTATTTTTTCAACTTGCTATTCAATCCTGATCACTCATTTTGATCTCGGCTCAGTCCAAATCATTTTATTTTTCTAACTCATCGCTTAATCTCGATCACCCGTTTTGATCTCGACTTAGTCCAGATCATGTTATTTCTTGTTTCGCAGTTTAGTCTCGATCATTTTCCTATTTCGGTATCTTAGATCATTTTTTAAATCTCTACTTTTAGACTTGAACAAAATAAATGTTTTTTTTTATCTTTGTGCAATTTCTATTCCACAGAAAATGCAGAAAAAGGGGCAACTGTAGACACCTCATTTTGTTTGAAAAATTTTTTGGAATTGAAATCTAGTTAAAATGATGTTAAGAGATTTTTTGGATTTAATTCCAGAATCAATTCACATTAAAATGATGTTGGGAGATTTTTCAGATTTAATTCTAGAATCAATTGGCATTAAAAATGATAGGGAGAGATTTTTGGGATTTAATTCTAGAATCAATTCACATTAAAATGATGTTGGGAGATTTTTCAAATTTAATTCTAGAATCAATTGGCATTAAGAATGATGTGGAGAGATTTTTGGGATTTAATTTTATAATCAATTCTCATTAAAATGAAAATCAAATAAAATCATAGATTTAAGGAGAATTGATAGAGCATGAATTCCTATATAAATTTGTGATCAAAGCAAAAAGGGGCATTCAAAAAAAAAAAGATTATGTAGAAACTCTTGAAAAAAAATAGAGAAATTTGTTTAACAACCAAGAGGTTTTAGGTTTTGGGTTTGATTTGTTTAGATTTTCTAAAATTATGATTTGGTGTTTTGGGGTTTGAATTTCTGTATTTCTGTAAGGTTTTGCATTCTAGGAATTTTTAGGTTTAGTTTTCTAGACAATTTGTTAGGTTTTTAAAAATTTTCTGTCAGCTTTGAGATTTATTCGTTAATTTTTGGGCACCTATAAATCAATTAAAAAAAAGATAGAAGAATAACTATTATAGAAAGAGAGACATACTCAAACACTTCTGAAGAAAAGCCTGAAATTTGATACACCTAGATCTGTGTGTTTTGCCATGCACAACCCAACCCGATCACAGGTTTTTTTTTTTTATTTCTATTTTATCATTTTATATTTTAAGTTTTTATTTCATTTTTATTATTTATTTTATTTTGCTAATTTTCTACTAAGCAATTTATTATTTATCAAATATTTTATAAAAATTCCTTTTATTATTTTATTTCTAAAAAACAATAAAAAAATTTTTCAAATAAATTTATGAATCCCACTAAACTATTGGAGAACTTTTCATGGATTTAAATTTTATGAAATCTACTAAACTATTAGAAAATTTCATAAATCAGTTTTCAAAAGAAATATTTTTATCCTATCAAGCTATTAGATGATTGCTTCTTAATTAAATTTTATCAAACTATTTGGAGATTTAATGAACTTTTTAAAAAAAAAACTTTTATAAATATCTTTACAATAAAATCTTACCAAATTATTAAATGATTTACATTGAAGTAAATTTTACTAAACTATTAGAAGATTTTACTAATTTTTTCGAATAAAATACACTAATAAATCCGATGATGAAGCCTCTTCAGAGTGGGATACCAGTCTCTATGAATACTCCTGAGATGAAAAAATTATCTTAAATTATTATCAACTATTGGGGTAATTTTAAGACTAATTTTCAATATTAAATATCTTGATAAATTACAAACATGTTTAAGGCTTAAATAATATGAAATCAAATTTGTACCATCCTCTGGATGAATGTTGTGAGAATACTATAAATTTTCTCACACATAATCGTACTTTAAAAGATGAATGCTGTAAGAGTGTTATAATTTTTCTCACACGTAATTATACTTTTAGACTTAAAATTTAGTTTTATGGATCAAAATCTACTATTTAAAGATTTTTAAGTCAATATTAAGAATTTTTTTGAATAGGATAGATTTGATCATGTGATCAATCGTATCTAAACAAAAAAGATTAATGATGACTCTTTTGATTTATGTCTAGCAATAAGTTTATGGATCTATACGTTATGACAACATTTTTTCTGCAAATAAAATATCCATTGAAAATAAAATTTTGATTAAACCTTTTATAGTTGATAACCATTTGACTTTACCGCAACCAATGACATAAATTTTTATTACATGTCATGCTTGTATCGGATATCTATGTTATGTCAGCATATTAAATAAAGATATCAAGATAAAGTATCAAAGAGTTTAATTACAAATTTTAATTCTTCAAGTACTAAAATGATAAAAGTTAGACAATACAATAGCCAAATTTAGATTTAATAGGCTAATGGCTACATAGATTTTTGTCATTACAATATTGGATTATATATATATATATATATATAATATCATAATCTGTGAATTTTAGAATAAATGATAAGTGTTATTGATTTGAATATAAGATTTATTAGAGATTTTTTTTTAAAAAAATAACGACATAAATTAAGTAAACTACCCTTTAAATTTTTCCTTGCACTTTTTTAAACACACAAAACTGGTTTTGTATGATTGAAGAAGTTTCTAAAAATAGCTTCTTTTTTCTTGGGATTTTGGATAATCACTGAAATATTATATATGTGGATTGAGGAATATGTAGATTTTATGTTTTCTTTTGATTAAAAATAAGAAAATTTTGGATGGAAAAGACGCAAAGATAGCATGAAATTCATATGCCCAAAATTCATTGACTTTTGGTCACCTAAAGAATAAAATGGAAAAAATTAAACATTGAATAGATAATAAATATAAAACAATCCACTTGTTGATATTAATAAAACGAAAAGTCCTATAATCAAATAATAATTATATTAAGGTCTAATTAAATATTATTGTAATACTTGAAAAAAGTTTTGATTGAAAAAATGTGATGAGAAAAAATTTGGTTTAAAAATTTAAAGTTTTTAACTGTGAAAAAGTGTTGTGATAAATTAAAATATTTAAAAATATATGCATAAAATAATAAAAATTTTAAAATATAAAGATAATAAAATCAGTTTACTTACAAAAATTTGTGATTAAACTCAAAAGCATCTCCTTACTAATTTTTTAGATTGGGTTTGCAAACCATGTTCATTAAAAAAAAAAATCACTTTCTTTTTTTATATTTAATATTGAAATTGAATCAAAAGTAATTTTTAAATGCAAAAACCACTTTCTGCATCATTGTTAATTAACCCTAATTAAACTTTTTTTTCCATATTTTTGGGTTAATATTAAGGTAGTTAATGTCTAATGGTTGGCCTCTAACATAAAACTTAAGCCCTAATATTTGGCCTCTTAGAAAATTAATTGAAAGTTTTAGAAAAATAAAATAATTTAAAAACATTGAAACAAAAATTTTTTTAATTTCAATAGATATAGAATAGTATATACTTTTTTGAAAATATAATATTTTTTTGCTTTATTCTTTATTCATTTTTCTTTATTGGGTTCTGTTTAACAATTGTTTTTCAAAAAATTAAGAGTCATTTGGTATTACAATTGCAGTTGCATTTTATTTTAATCATTGAATTTGATCATATAAACATTTAAAAAAATAAAAATAGCCATAAATTTTTTTGATTATGATGGATATTGAATTAAAAAAGTTCATTTTTATATGCTGATAATTAATTTTTAATTTCCCAAAAAGATGTTATATTTCATTTTTTAATATACCTTAAATAATACCTATCATCATATTATTTTTAATTGTGGGATTCAAAAACTCTATTTTTTAATTGAATTTATTGTCAATAATAAAATCAATTATAAATTGAGCTTTGCTATGAAAAAAAATAATAATAAAATAAAGAAAGACTGAGTCTGGGCCAAAAAAAAGAGACTGAGAGCATGGGTGGAGCCCAGTTAACCATAAAGTTAAGGGGTAGTAGGGTTTTAGAACAGGGAGAAGCGAAGGGTGAAACCACGAAACCAAAGCAGCGAGCGGCAGCTTTTCTTCTGTATCCCAAAATGGTTGCTTTCAGGGTAAGTTGACAATGCATTTTCATTTTTTTTTTTTGTTTTTTGTTGACAACATGGTGATGGGACTTCGGGTTTTGGAAAAAAAAAAAAAGAGCAGTTTCATCAGTACCAGGTGGTGGGCAGAGGTCTCCCAACAGAAGCAGATGAGCATCCGAAGATTTACCGTATGAAGCTTTGGGCCACCAACGAAGTCCGTGCCAAATCCAAGTTTTGGTTTGTGAATTACATTTTTGCTGATCATGCTTGATTTTCATTTGTCTTCATGTTTTTTGGGTGTGGGGATCTCAGTTTTTCTTTGCTTGATGTGTTTGTTTTCATGTTTAGGTACTTTTTGAGGAAGCTGAAGAAGGTGAAGAAAAGCAATGGACAAGTTTTGGCCATCAATGAGGTATTCACGATTACTTGTCGTTTACATCTCTTTTGAAAATTTGAACCCCATTAATATATAGCCTATGCTAATTGCAATGCATTTTATCATACAGGCTACCTTGTTTTACCTTATGTTATTCTGTTCAATAGCTTTTCCTACTGTTTACTTGTGTGTTGATAAATGATCGAAGATTACTTGTAAATGCTTGACTTATAGTTGTTCATTCATAATTGGGAGTTACTGAGTTAGGATTGACATACAGTTAGGCGTACAAGAAAAAGAAAAAAAAAAGTTGTCTTACTTACATTACTGTGACTTGGAGATTACCTTATACCTATATTTTAGAAGGAAAGATGCCTTAAAAAGCTTTCCTTCTTATGTGCATTGTTTATTTTAGAAAAGAAAGTCCTTTATGCATTAATTTGTTTTTTAATTTGTTGCTTTGTTTGCCATATTCTGGATGTAGAGTTGCCACTACTGAACAAAGTTGGCCTATATTCTATCCTCTGGGTTTTACTTTAGCTGAATCTCTTTTCCTATAAGCGAATGATGTTTCATCATTTCCATGTGGATGGAGTTAGACTTTTTTTAAATTGCTTGAGTTAATTTGTGTGCTTTATTTAATGTTGAATGTTGTATAAGGAACAATATTATGAAGAAATCCGCCATGTTCTGCTCATAGTTGAACTTGAAATCATCTCAAAAACATCTGGAACGATCAATTTGGTTAGATTTAAAAGAAGCATCGAGTTAAATGATTAGGCTCCGATCTAAATGTGGGTGGTAGTTAGTTATTCATCTGAGCCTGGTCTCATTTGATAGGCCAGAATAAAGTACCAGTGCTAGTGAAGATAAAACTTTGTGTTAGATTGTGAGAAAACAAAACATTTCTGAAACTCTTTTGTATTTGGGAGTTCGGAGCTTTTGGAGGCAGGGGACATCTGAGTACAGTTTACAACATGCTTACATATTTACCATGTAGACCGTGGAGTATGTGGGGAGAAATAATGCTTTATACCCTAATTACCATCAAACCTTGTTGCAATGCATCTGTGCTTTGGTGGCAGCTCAGTTGTGTTCCATTGTTGAGTGGCTTCTATATCTAGTTTGTTGCCAGGTTATAAACTGGATTGGGGAGCAATGAACAGAAATTAATATTTTCTGGCGATATATGTTTGTGATTGCAGATTTTTGAGAAAAACCCTACCAAGATCAAGAACTATGGCATTTGGCTACGATATCAAAGTCGAACTGGTTATCACAATATGTACAAGGAATACCGAGACACAACTCTCAATGGTGCCGTAGAACAGATGTACAATGAGATGGCATCTCGTCACAGGGTGAGGTTTCCTTGTATTCAAATCATCAAGACAGCCACTATCCCTGCAAAACTTTGCAAGAGGGACAGCACCAAGCAGTTCCACAACTCCAAAATCAAATTCCCACTGGTATTCAAGAAGGTCAGGCCACCTACTAGGAAGCTTAAGACAACATACAAGGCATCCAGACCCAACTTGTTTATGTAATTGTCTTCATAATTGGTGGTGATAGGCTAAAAGCCTTTAGTTTGATTACTTCCCTTAATAGATTGAGAGGACAGATCAAATTTTGAACACTTTGTGAAGATTGTGGTTTTGATAAGTTTACTTTTAATTTGATGAGCATGGTGAATTACAATTTATATTATTTGCAATGTCTGGTTGGAGAGTAATGAGTATGATGTTTCTGTTGGTTATCACTTGTGCTATCAGAAAAAGCTTTCAACCTGCTTAAAAATGGTTTTTACTTTTACAGTTGCAATTTTACCTCTTATTCACTCTTGAAATATGTCTTGTTAACTTTGTAATTTATAGCTTAGGTAAAAGTCTTGGATGGACCAAGATAAGAATCTGGGAGGCTCTAAACACCTCAAAAAATGCTCTATACACCCTCGATTTTCTTTACAAAATTACCCTTGAGTAATTTACGGTTTAGTAAATATCGTTTTTAACCCTCATTAATTGACCGTTTAGTAAATTTTATTTCGTACAACTGGATAAACAGATAAGAAATAAAACCGATTCAACTCTCCCTTATCATATCGGCTCCAGACTTGTAAACAAAATCCTAAAAGCTTTCCCATGGATTTGAACAAATTTGTTTTCATAAGCTTTCAATGGCTTATGGGATTATTTCCGTAAGCTTTCAAAGGTTCAAGGAGATAATTTCCGTACGAAATTTTATTTCTGTAAAATTTCAAAGGCTTATGGAAAAAAATTTTTTATAAGGTCTTTAAAAATTATTGAAAAACAAATCCATATAATATGATTTCAGCGAAAATAAACCACAAACTCAGATCAATTATTGAAAATATTTAACAATCAACTAAATTTGATCTTTCGATAGATGGCTTAGTTCGAAACTTGTGATTCGAGGGTTTTTCAACTGTTTTCCGGTTGAATTTTGAGATTATGTTTGATTAGGATCGATTGAAAATGAGGGAAATGAAGGACAAAGAAAGAAGAGGGGCTATAAAGGATATAGACAAAAAAAGTTTGAAAGTTTGGGATGAGTGTGATGAGCAAAATTTTTTATTTTTATTTTTATTTTGAATGTGGGGTGCTTTTAATATTTAAAATATACTCTGATGGATCGCATATAAGAAACAATAATTAACTCTAATGTTATATTAGTTGAAGGGATGGGATTAGTTTTTGAACCATGTACTGTGTCCTCGTTTGGGGGTAAGTTACATGGTAGATTAGAGTTTCCCCCAAATATTCAACAACTGGAAGTCATTAATGTTTCCTTTCAAATGGACAGCAGAAGTAGTGCCTATAATTTTCTTCTTTCGAATCCTAGTAGATGATGAAGGCACAGCTTTTCTTTTTTTCCTTTTTTTTTTGTCTTAAAATTTCTCATCTCATAGCTTTATTTTCCCTAGCTTCAACATTATTATTAATGTCTACTGTAATTGTAGAAATTTAATCTTATTTAAAGATTGTACCATCTGATCAATCGAAAGTTCATCTTAATTTTGAAAAAATTTAAATAAAAAAATAAAATAAAATTTATTATACAAATTTAGATTTATATAAAATTTGAGTCAAATTTTGAAAAAAATTTCAAATTCGATTTGTTACAACAGAATTTAAGTAATTCTATAAAAGAAATCCAACTTTGGTAGGGTAAAACCTTATTTCTTTGTTGTTGACATACATAAGATGGCTTTATCAAAGGCAAAAGCCATATCCAAAAGAATTAGCATTTTGATCAAAGAAAAACATTAAAAGATGAAAACAATGTTGCATTTATTCTATCTTGCAAACAAATTAATTAATCTCACTTAAATAATGTTAAATTATGAATAATTATATTGATATCATATTGTGATATACCTGATCATATAATATAATTTTAGTTAAGTGTAATTTCAATATTAATTTTATAAATGAACTCATAATGGAAGAAATCAGTTTTGACTAACATATTAAGACACACATGCACGTGCAAAGTCAGCTCATTAAGTTTTATAGTTTTAGTTTGGATAGAAAACAATTTCTTTTTTTTTTTTTGTACAAATCTCATTTTTTATGTTTGAAAAAGGAATCAAGAAGCACAGGACAGCGATATCAATGCTGTAGACCTCATTTAAGTGAAATTGAGCTCTCACCCACATTCAAGATAGTTTTAATATCGATTTAAAATTATGTTAAATGACTAATCGAGGTTTTGATCAAATCCAATAATTAAACAATAACATATTATGGCTAAATCACTAAGCATAAGAGCGAATTAGAGTTAAATTGAGTGATGACAGTATACAGAGCAAACAAAAAGGTAAATTTCAGAGAAATCAATTCATTAAACATAATGTCATGTGCAATATAAACCGCAAACGTAATTCACCAATGATTATTAACATAACAACGGTCTGGAATTCTATAATGATTCAATGAAAGTAGAACATGTGAGATATAATTCATTAAATTCATGAAAATAAACAACACTTAATGCTTAGATTTAAGGAAGCTACAAATAGAATTATCCTACCAAAGGACTATTATTCTGGGTATACAAAAAAATAGCTTTTAAAATGATTCGAACATGCCATTTACCAACTAGAATGGATGGGCAACACACTGAGATTTTCTTAGGTGATTAAGATAGAAGAAATGAAGGGATTTAGTTTTTTTTTATTTTTTGGATGGATATCTGATTAGGAAATGAAGAATCGTTTTTTTAAACAATTGTAATAAACCATGAACGTGAGATGGGACGGAAGGAAGGGGAGAAGGCGAAAACATTTTTCTATTAATGGCAAGAACATTCCCCTGGTAAGTTTCTTTACATTCCATGAATTATTCTTTTTCCAAAAATAAAACAAAAAAACGATTCAGATGGGAGAAATTAATAAAACATAGAAGTCAAATGGGAAGCAAGGAAGGTGAAAAGGCGAAAACCTTTTCAGATTAATGGCAAGAACATTCCCCCTGGTAGGCTTCTTCAAATTCTCTGGAGTGTTGTTTAAAAAAAGATTCAGATGGGAGGAAATTAAAGATGCTGAAATGCGATAAGAGAATGACAGAATAAGTCTGTTGGGTAACTCAACTCAGTCCACGTGTCACACAGATAGCAAACAAAGATGAAATTATATGTATGTTGGATAATTAATATATCAAACTCCCATAAATTTGGAGAAGGATTGGGTGCAACTATATGTAGCTTCTCTCTTTGCAACAACAAACAATGATATTAAGTCAGAAGCTCCAGTAAAGCTAATTTGGCAATAAGTTCTCATTAACTAGCTTCACAAGCAAATATCAATATAACCACTAAATACATATATCATTTGACGCAAAGCAGAACATAAATGGAGTCCAGAAGCAGCTATCACTTTTTTCAAAAGACAAGATCTTTGATTCTAAGTTTCTAACCCTCGTTGGAATCTAACCATGATACTTCATTCACTCTATAAAGACTCCTTTAGAAGATCAAATTTTAGCATTAACACAAGCAATGATTCCAATTCTAGTTTAGATGATGACCAAATCCAGGTTGAAACAGAAGTCTTTTTCTACGCTTATTAACACTTAAAACAGGGATTAAAAGTCAACTCCCATTTACCACCTAGCATCAAATTAGTTCATGTAACCGAAGTAATTCCTCATCATTCTGCTTGCAGAACAGTATACAAACATAGTAGCGTGAATAAGATGGTATGTAATAAAAAAAACAAAGGAGAAAATTAGACATTAAATCTATAAACAAGTTACAAAAGAATGATGAATGTGACAAATAAGTGATTGAACTTCTTCTTCTTGTAAGAGTTTAACTACAAGACCCTGCTCCAAAATCTGAGTATATACTAAAATTTCCTTTATTGGTTTATCATATATTGCAATCCATCAAAAAGTCTCCTGTTGCAGTAAAAGCTTAAACAAAAAATCCAGACAAAACAATCTGCGCCAAAATTTCAGTCAGTCAAGGATGCAAGATTCTCACAAACATGCCTTCTGCATTGGAAGCTCTCACATCACCCCAGAGTTAAAGACATGCAAATCTAGCAAAGCTTTGTAATGCCCTTTCTCAATATCTTCTTCTTTCACCTGATGGAGGAGTAGGGTTTCAATAACAAAATCTTCCCAATCAATTTCACTGGCTTGTCTTCTCTTTCTCTTCTTCCCAGAATAAGCAACTTCTGAAGAGTTTAAATTGCCACTACCATCTGAACCAGTATTGGATGGATCCATGATCTTATTGATTCGCACCTTAGCAGCATTTATCTTTCTCCTTCTCCTCTCGTTTGCCTTGCAGCCGGCAATAAAAGATGGTGGCATCAAATCCAAACCTATTTCTTTCTCCAAAATTTGCTGAATAAGAAGCTTTTTACTTAATTCTGATTTCCCACTCCACCAATCCTTACATGCATGAAGATCAAGCCCCCTACTCTTTCTCCCATGAACCTTTCCGCTTTTTCCTTTCAACCTATCAGCCTCAACCTCGTTTGAAAACTTTGTATAGATCAAGGACAAGCATTCATGTGAAAGCTTAAGGTTTTCTATATCATTATCATTAGATAATATAGGAAAGTCATTTCTATACCCTCCCTCAAAATATTGAGAATCACTTTCAAAAAATTTATCGCCATCCCCATAGTCTGCAGCTTTCTGCAAACACTCACTAACCACATCATCCAAATCAAAATTCTCACCCCTCCCCCCTCCTCCAGGCATTTCCATGGACTTCATCTCCATATACCGAATAATGAATGGTGCATACTTTACCACGTTTTTCACTGTCACATCTTTCCCCCATGGCAATATTTGTGCGACCTGGACAAGCGCCTCCAATAGCTCTTTATACCTCAACTTACAAGTAGACACAACAGCATAGACATCTTTGGCTACATCCTCAATCTTCAAAACCTCCACCCCATTCAACTCCGCCACAAACGCCAGCACAGCAGCCACCACAGGCAATGGCCTCCTGCCCGTGGTTAAAAACCACTTGACCGCACAATTGACCAAAAAAATCCCTTGTTTCCTCATCCTCTCTTTCTTCTCCCCATCCACATTTTCCAACCTCATCGAATTATTCAACTCTCTCTCAAACAAACCCGAGATACTAACCTCAGGCAAAGTCAAATTCAAAAACTTAACGACACGAGCAATCATCCTACCTAACTCATAAACATCACAACCAACAACCTCCGCAACCTCCGCCGCGGGTAAAAACCTATTATCTCTCCTCATAACAACATAAGAACAAGCACCGATTAGAACATTAAACCAATCGCCTTGACCGAACTGCCCTTCCGTAATCTCATTGATCATAGAAGTAACGCCGGATTCGGAATAAGATATGTTAAGATTCAAGGTGTATTCGTGGATTAAGGTTTTTGCCTGGAAGATTTTTTTGTCTTTGTAACTGAAAAGAGAACCGGTACCTGCGTAGCCGATGTGGATGTTGGTGCCTTTGGGACCGCTGATGCCGCCGATTTGGGCTTCAAAGTTATCGAAATCGAGGAGGGTGTAGCAATTGGAGCAAACGAGGTTGCCCGTCACGTCGTCGCGGATGGTCGAACGACTTCCGCATTTGCACGGCATTTTGGTTTTGGGTTCTTTAAGGGTGGTGTTTGGATCCTAGGAAACCGCAAACCTGGGTGGATTTTAATGGCGGTTGGTTAGGTTAAAAACCCTAAAAGCTAAAACCTTGAAAAAAAAAAAACTAAGAAATTGATTTTGGAGGGACAAAGAAACGAAAACAAGGTTAAGTACTAAACGTCAAAACCAAAGCAGAGCAGGCGGTAACTCGTCACCCTCCCTATATATATATTCTACGAATTCATCAAAAGTTGAATTTAAAATAATAATTAACTAATTAGTACTATTTTTTATACACTTTAAAATGTTAGTAAAATGTTTTGTTTTATAATTTTAAATATAAAAATCGAAATAAAATTAAATAATTATTCAAATTTTTATTGTTTTATTACATTTTTTTAATAATATTGTTTTATTACATTTAGTTGAGTCTTAAATATTTATTTTTATTTAATTAAAATTTTAAATATTTAATTTCATTTAGTTTAGCTCTCAATTAAATAAAAATTGATGATGGTGAATAACCAATTTCCTTCCTATAAAAATTCAATTGAATAATCAATAAATAGTTGGTTCAATCCGTTAAAATCGTTCTTTTCGACGAAAAAATTTTCGGTTTAAGTTCTGTTGGTAATCATTTGTTGAGATTATCTCGAATGCACGACCTGCAATCACCTGTCTTAATTATCATATACGACACGTATTGCTCTGACCTGAGGAATTGAATAGCTTATCTACTAAATATTTTTCTTACAAAAAAAAATAATAAAAATAAATATTTAATTAATTACAATAAAATGATAAAAACATTAATTTTAATTTAGAATTTTTCTTTTATACTTTAGCCTTTTACATAATACATGATTATGTGTAATAGGATTATACTATTTATCTATAATCAATATTATTAATAATATGAAAATTAGTTTAATCGTAACATTATGTGTTTCTTTTGTCAACATAACATCAGGTATTTAATAATTATTTTGTTTTTCAATTGAAACACCAACTTTGAGAAAATAAAAATCATTGAGACAATAAAACACTAACACATAGTAATAAAAATTTCAAAGAATCTGTGGGTATTTTAAAATATCAATGAAAATGTGTTTTGATTAGAATGGAAAAAATACATCTGACAAATAGGATATAATTACATAAATTGTACTAATATTTTTAAAATTGGTTGTATTTTTCTATCAAAACCATTACCTTTGATTATATTTGTATAATGCAAATTTTTTTAAAATTATAATTATCATTAAATAATATATTTATATAATCAATTAAATAATTAATTATTATATCATAATTAAATTATAATTATTAAATAATCAACTAACTATTTAAAACATAATTAAAAAACCTAAATTCAAACATAATAAAACTTAAATATAAGAGTTCAAAATTTTGGGCCTCCTCAACCAAGGCTTCATTGGCTAAACTTGGTCGAAGTTATCTTGGCAAATGGCAACTGTCCCAAGAATTTAGAACTCTTTGGCTTTGGTGACATGAGAAGGCATTAATATTTCAATTGAAATTTGGTCACTCACTGGGTGGGTGTTTTAAAGAAGAAAAAGAAAAATATATTTTTAAAGGGAAGAAGTTGCGTAAATAAAAATGGGTATTTTTTAAATAATTTTATAAATGAATTGTTAATAATATAATAATAGTAAAACGCATAAATACCTTTAATTTTATTTTGTTATTATAATTTTACTTTAATTTTTAAGTAAATTTGTTAATTGAATTGAATTAACGTCAGTTAATTCGTGACATCATTCAACTCAATCAAAAAATTTATAATTTGTGTAGATAACACACTTTATAGGGATGAAAAAAAAATTTAAAATCAATTTAAAATTGTAATGTTCAATTTAGTTAAAATTATTTTTTTATTCAAATTCAAATTAAATTTGAATGTAAAATATATATATTAAGTTCTGATCAAAATTTTTACTGAAATATGAAAAAAAAAAAAAATACCCCAAATCAAGTTACATTTTTTTTATAAACTTCTATAAATATTTTAAAATTTTATAATATACAACAAAAATAATAACAACAAACTAAGTCTTCTATTTCATGGTTTTGAGATTGATTATATAAAAGACCAAAAAGAAGAATATGTTATGTCTAATTTTGAATTTTTTTGCACCATCTATTTCTATTAAAAACAATATTTTCTAATTTATTTAATTTTTATATTATCTCTTATTATTTGCATCCATATCGATCGTGATATTTCTCTAAAAGTTTTTAATTTTTCTTAAATCCTAACTCATTTATCCTGACCGACTTACATATGAGCATACATTTCATATATCCAAACTATTTCAAATGATCATCTCTCATATTTTTCTCAACTCGAACTATTTTTAATTTTCTTCGAATTTATTTATTTCTAATTTTATTTCTTCTAGTCTTATTATATATCTATCTAAATTTTTTAACTCCACTCATTTTTTTCTTGTATTGTTTCTTAATAGATGAACAGTTAGTCCCATATAATAATACATATCTTACAATTATTTTATACAATTTATTTTTAACTTAAAAAATACGTTACAATCATACAACATCTCATCATCGCTTTGAATAATTGATCTCTATATCGAAAATGACTATTCTTTAATAGTAACTCTCCTTTCAATTTAATTTCATTAACACTCACTTCCTTGTGAGTATTAAATTTACATTTTATATATTTAATTTTAAATTTATTCAATTTAAAATTTTATAATATAAAATAATATTATACATATAAATTTATTTAAACATATAAAAAATTTATACCAAAATAATATAAAAAGTAAAATTAAAAAACCAATGAATCAAACAAATAAAATTTAATTTAAATCGATTTAAAATAAATCGATTTAAATTTAAATTAAATTTTTAAAATAAATTTTTAAAATTCATAAAATTATATATTATTCAAAAAAACCAAATGAAATTTAAACTGAATCATTATCACTGGTAACATTTTTTAATCTAAATCAAATCCAACTTTTTAAATTGAATCAAAGTTCGATACCATCATTACACTTTTTCTTTGGATGTAATTTGGGTGATAAGCAAATCATCAATTTTCGAAGTATGGTAAATCTTCAAAATAGCTTTTCGGAGCAACATGTTGAGCAATTTATAGTAAATATTAAATCGCTTAAAGAGGTGAACTAGAAGAAATCCACCAGCTGTTACTTAACAATGAAAACTGATGGTAAATTGAAGCAAACTAATTAAAAAAGTGATACATACTAACACAAAGGAAACTCATTGCCTTTTACACTCAACCTGCAATCTCTATACACACAGCATAGCTGAAACTTCAAAATTAACAATCGCATTACTAACGATGACAACAACAATAATATGAAATATCGGAGATATAAAGACTAGGAAACGCCTTGGAAAGACAATCTATCACGAAGAGTGTCAAAAAGTGAGGAAGCTGCTGCATTTTGTGCAAATGTTAATTTCAATCTACCCAGCAGCTCACCATCTTTGGCTTGAGAAGCAGCATCGGCGGCTTCTTTTGCCATGCCAATCCGAGCATAAGCCTGTCAGAACCATAGACAGATCTTGGGCAAGGGTAAAAATTATAAAAATCTTATTACATCTATTCAAACGAGAAAAGCAATCACTTGCACCTACTGGTTTAGCAATCAAACAGAAAAGTCGAAACTAATGATTCCCGTGAACACAGGAGAACTCAAAGACCAATATTGGACATGAATTGTTACCTCAGCCCTTTCTCGGGGATCAGCAAGCTTGGGGATATATTTTAGAGCTTCACCTTTCTCATCAGCATCAATGCATGCCTCAACAAATGGCCTATAACCTATTTGATGCACAAAAAAAAAAAAAAAACTGTAAACAAACTAACATGCCTTGTAGAAAAATGGAAGAACAAACACTCATTGTGGTGAAAATGGTATTTAATTCATGTATTCAAACAAACCCCAAATCCAGTACCTTTAATATTTTATCCCTCCCAAGACGATTAAAAAGACTCGCACTTTGCATATGCATCGACTAATACACAAAAGAACTATATGTTTAAATCATAAAAACAGTTTAAGCTAACCTACTTAGGAGACAACTAATTAAATTCGGCTTTCTAAAAAATCAGTAAGTTAAAAATTTTAGTGTAACCAAATATCTTTGCTTTTTCCGTTTTCTTTGTTTTTTCCTTTGCCTAATTCTTCTTTCATCCCCGCCAATGCCGACAATGAGATTACAAAAACAGGGAAGAAGGGAAACCTTGAGAAAATCCATCCTGCATCACTTCAACTTATGATGTTAATTTAGAATCCAAGTTTTCCTAATATCAGGCAACAAAGATCACTTGCAGATAATGCAAGAATTATATCCTTCATAATAGCAGGTAGCTGAGATCACATGCAGACAATGCATGATTATATCTTGTTATCTTGCTCGCCGAAATTGAACAAGAATGTTGATAGCTTACCAATTGGTGGTCTCTTCTCTTTTGAAAACTTCTCAAGAGCATCCCAATCTCTAATTGTAGCCAAAGCAAAAACTTTAAGCCAATACCACCTCTTCTCAGAAACCTGGGACAAGTAAGCAATAAAGCAACAATTACAATTCAACAGGTAATAAGAGCAATCTAAAGCAAGATGCCTAAACTGTCAAGGAAGCTGAAGAATAAATGTTATATCTTGTGCCAGGAAACTTCTTTAAGCAGAAGATAGAATATAGAGGCAGACTTTTTTGTGTGTGTGGCCAAATAGAAAGTATGGGCAGTTTAAGAACCTTGAATTCAGTCTTCACTTTCATTGCAGCCCGATGATTCCCCAGAACGATACATGTTCGTATAGTATCACTAATACTTGAATCAACAAATATGGCCTGCTTTGTTATTACCTCTAGCTCGTGTTGTATTCTGTAAGATTTGGGAGTATTTGAAAAAGAAAATAAATAGGTACTATATCAGTAGGCAACTTATTTTATAATAAAATTAAAAAGAATATGTAAAGAAAGAAAAGTAAATATATTAGTTAATGATAGCTGGAAACCAGGATGGAAGCATTAACAAACCATAATCTCCAATTATGCGATAAAATTCCCTGTTCTAATATAGTTTAAATCTTGCTATATGAAGAAGTGTGAAGAACTCCACCCCTAGCTTCTTTTATCATCCTACTTTTCCTTATTGGAAATGTATATAATTTTTTTTTTTTTGGAGGGGGTGG